CTCTGTCAAATATCTAGTGCAAATAAATGTCACACACTCCATAAATCTGGACTTCATGGTAGAGTGGCAACATATTCTTGGGATATTCTTGCGTGACCATGACCTAGTCAAAGTCTATCCATCAGTACCTGCTTGTCTATCCCTCAGTACCTGGCGCTTACGCTGGTAAAATGTTGAAGAAAAACAACGACACTTTGTCAGAGTGAATATAGAGTCATTCTCTATTTCTTGTTCGTCTTCCACATAGACACAAAATATTTACCTCCACATGCACATAAGAAATGGAGGAAAATGCTGAGGTGCTCATCTGGGTTTCCATGAGATCAGTCCGCTGCTCAATTAATCTGTCTCGTCTCCAGCCTATGGAAAGTCTCCGGGTTCCACAGCGTTTTTGCCATGGAGGTGTGTTTTTCTTGGTTCAGGAATTCTGGTGCAGCCTCTGCCCCAGAGTTAAAGCAGAGGAGATCATGGTGGGAAACTCTTCCATAAGCTCCCCCACAGGGCAGAGTCCAGCCAGCCGAGCTCCTCATCATTTTTAGTTATGAACGTAGTTGGAGAGGGGTTTGATTTCACTATCTGTCACATCGACTGATTTTAAGCCTGCTTTGCTCATGCGAGATGGCTCGCAAATCCATTTTCATGCATTTCCAGTCAGAACCTTAGAAGCACACGAAGTAATTTATTTTAGTTAAGAGTTTGTATCATTCTTTTTCTAAGGTGGGATAATTATGCAGCAATTTCAGTGATTTCTCTTTTTTTTTTTTAAAGAGAACTTTAGAGAATTTTCTGTTTGAATATTTGAGTTCATTTCTAGGTGATTTTATTTTCCAGTATAATTAATTTCCTTTATGGTTGCATTTAGCCTAGCCCCTGCCGTCCCTCACATTTCCACTTTAGTCATGAACTAATCTCCCCAAACAGCTTTCGCCCATTTACTTCGATTTGTCCGGCTCGATTTCTGCCGATAGTCTAGATTAGAAGCGGGGAGATCTGGTGTTTTTCTCCTTAATTACGCCTAATTTTGATGGCCATGTCACTGGCTGGTTCCAGGAAAACCTGGTGACAAATGGACATAAGTTGCCTGAAATGACGAGGTGTGTCATTTCACAAGCTCCCCAAGAACCAGAACTGCGACCTCCGATTGAGAGTTTGATCAGTTGTTTGTGTGCGCTTGACTTTGCTTTACTCCTTCAAACAAACTTTTTTCCACCGCTAAACTTTTTCTTTCTCTCCGGCCACAAAGCTTTTCTCCAGAACTCGCTTGTCGTGTCCATGTTGGCAGCTGAAAATTACAGTGACACTTGAAGGTATTGGAAGGGAAGGACAAAACATTTTCAACAATGTATTGTGAATGTTAACAACGCCACTGGAGTAATCCGTTCGATCCTCCGATGTATATTATGACATGAACAATAAATTTAAAAAAAAAAAGAACACTCTCAGATGGAGAAACAATAAATAGTTCTCTCAGAAGCCCTCTGAAAGTACAATTGCAGAGTTTGTCTGCAGCACATATTTTCCAGGATTATTTCCAACGGGACATTTGTCTGAAGGTGAATTTCATAACAGCAGAGAGGAAGAGACCGGGATCTGTTGTGGTAGTCTGTGTGTGGAGTTCACAATCAAAGCAAAACGTTGAAAATCTAGATCGCCTCCTCAGAGGTCTGCAGAAACAGTCTGAATATTGATTTCCTATGATGGAAAGCAGGCACGGAGTCAAATAATACCTCATTTCTCTCACATATTTATTCAAACAGTGGCCGCAGCATATTCCATGCGCTCGGTGACGTAACGGATGATAGTCGTTTGCTCACCAGACTTGCTTTTACAGGCACAAATTGTTGCGTAACATGTCTACACTGGGGCTTATTTGACTTGTGGATGTGAAACACGAGAATTACAAGCCGTATGAGTGCCTAGAGGGAGCTGGAAGATCTGGAAAGGTCTCATTTTAATGATATGCCTCAGTACTTTGGCTGAAATTGTTTTGCCACTTGGAGCTTTCTGTGAGCTTTGGAATATCTAAAGCTTCTGACCTGAGAGCGGATGGGCTTTCGATGCTACAGCTAAAATAACTCACGGCTGATTTATGACACAGAATTGTGTCACATGGTTAGAAACACTGCCTGGACTTTTAATGTTCCGTTCTTACCAGGATCAGCAGCAGGGGCCCTTCGGGAGCACCGGGACATTTCCCAGTGGACTAGTTGCTGCCTGCTAAGGGGCGGGACCCAAGGTCTGGTTCATACTGCAATTGCTATGGGGAAGACAGATGGTCCTCACCCGCTCTTTTCATTTTCTGTGGTCACTGGATGTCAAACCTAAACAATGTGCATGATTGCGGCCTGTCTCACCAGGGAATGTGAATCAAAGCGTTTCAACTGAAAAACGACTCAGAAAACTCAGAAAACATGGTGGTAACCCCAACCCTAACCCTGCCCATTACTAATACTGTATTTATGTTTTTCCTGGCATCTGAATGAAACTAATGTCTACCAGTACACTGTAATTCTAACAACTACCTCCTTGCAGACCACCGCCTTTCAGTCACGTTGCTTTAAAGCTCCCAGGATTCCTGGCATACTGTCTGTACTGAAAGTCATTTTTTGGCCAATTACAATAGCAGCTCCCGGTCCATCTGCGTGCGCGCTCAGACTGGATGTGTGTGAGCCGCGCGGTGCATTGCTAAAGATGAGACACATGTTTTCTCTGTTTTTCCTCTCTCTTGCAGATGAGAGTGTAAGCAAGTACATATTACTACTGCTATAAAGTCAGAGCTCCAAACTAATGTATGTCACCATCAACACATTAACAGATGGTGTCTTGATTTGGTGATCGGAAACATTTAAATGAGACGTAAAAGTAGAAAACAGAAGAAATGTGTTGGGGAGGATATGCTTTTTCATAGCACTGTTCACAGGCAGGAAGGACAAGAATATGATCAGACACCAATACGCTGCAGAACAGCAATAATGAATAAAACAAAAAAACTCCCAAAAATTTCATTGCATGATCTTAACTTGTGTTGTTACTTGCATTGCACCAATTGCATTTTTTTGGCTGACCCCGACCGTAACCCGATTCTGATTTTGGCTGATGTCGATTGTTATTTGTCTAAAACGTTACAAAATAACGTTTAACAGTGGGGTGACCAATGGTAGCCACTGGTACGCAGACTTCACCCAGTCTATCAGCACAACGTTTTTCACAACAGAGCAAAATGGGACAGTAGGTGATTTTCAAACTATTGTGGAAGTAGATGAGATCGGTGAATAAGATCGGTTTCTCATGCGAGCATCAGCCAATCGCAATCACTCAAAATTAAGGAAAACGGGGCCGGTTTATAGCCCAGGAGCCTTACTTTTTACTGTAGGCTACATACTGCTCAGTCATGATATTGTAATCTCCTCCACAAACTGTGAGTAATCTGACACCTGTCTCTCAGAACCATCTGCAGTTTGAGCAGCAGTATCAGATCATGAAAAACTAGTTCACTCCTTTCTTTTGACCACTTTGCTTACTGACCACTGCAGACTGGGAGCATCTCACAAGAGAGGTGCAGTTTTAGAGATGCTCTGACCCAGTTGTCTGGTCATCACTGTCCAAATGCTCCTGACGTTTCCAGTTTGAGGACACGATGTTGACAGGCAACCCATTCATAAACTCTTCAGAGTTTATGAAAAAAGCGTCTTGGATGTGGAAGAGGAGTCAAGCTCAGGAATTTTCTAGAAAAACACACAGAACTCATAAAAGTGAGTTTCTGAAGTCAAATGTTTGTTCGTTTTGAAGCTCTTTTATTTTTTAGAAAATTCTTGACTTTTCAAACTCAGATATTTCCTAGATTTTTCTGGACGATTGTTGAGTTTTTTCGAGCAAACTTTCATCTGTGGGACCTCTGAACTTCCCTCCTTTTTTTGTGTGTGAGAACATTTCTGAGTTTTTTTTCTAGCAAATTTTTGACTATTCAAACTCAGAAATGTCCAAGGTTTTTCTGAAACCTTTCTGAGATTAACCTCAAATTTAGATGTTTTTGGAGGTTTTTTTTCTCACAAATCTTCCAATTTTGGTGCTCAGAAATTTACTCAGTTTTCTATAAAAATTTCTAAGATCATTCTCAAAATTTCTTAAATTATTTTTTTACTCCTTCTTTTTCTCCAAATGGTTCTGATACTCCGTCCTAAATGACCAATAAGGTCGTTGGTGACAAACTCCAGAGTGGATCACTTCCGCCATCTAGCGTTCACCACACCAAACCGCGTCGACTCCTGAGGCCCGTCCGTGATGACAAGGGCAAATTCAACACTAATGACATTTTGTGGCCTAGAAATGAATGAGCGACCCTAATAGCTTTGCTTACTGTTCCCTCGGTCTATTTCAAGGCTGCTTTCACAGCCGGAGGGTCAAATGAGGCCTCTCCTTCAGATCAATGACAGATCTCATCTGCAGCCAAGAGGAGACACTTCCTCCAGCAGCGGGCGCAGATGTTGGCCTGTGAGAGGTTAAGACGGCAGACATTCCGCACGACTGCCTCCACCAGCAGGAGCCTCGGACACGAGTGGCAGCCTGGGCCCAAATGCCACACTTTCTATATCGAATCTGTCATGAATCCCGCCTGCACTTGCGAGGCCATGTTTTCCACCTGCTTCCCATTTTCTTTCTTAAATTTTTTTTCTGAAATGTGCATAAAAAACAAAGCGATATGAAACTCTATATAGCCTACGAATGAATGTTGTTGTTGTTGTTTTAACAACTGGTACTTTCTGCTCCCACTGCGGGGATCTAAAGAGGCGCATCCTCCTGTGCGTGTTGCAGCGATGCGCAGCCGTGCCGCATGACTCACGACAGGGGCAGGAGCGGCGAAGGGGATGTAAACAGGAGGCCGGACCGCGCGAGGCCTAACCTGTGCCCGCTCGGCCAATGGGAAGCCGCGCTCCGCCGCATCGCCCGCCGATCCCTCTTCTCTCATTGGTCCTCCGTCGCGTCAATCGCAGCTTCGCAGTCACACCGCAGAGAAGCGGGGAGAGAGAAGACGAAGGAGATAGAGACACAGAGAGAGGGAGATAGAGGAAAATAATATGATTAATTTGTCAAAGGCGAACTTCCGCTCGCGCTGACGTTCGAGCCCAGGTGCGCGGTTCACTTTGTGGACCGTGAGCCGACGGTGTCGCGGCAACAGGGGCGCGTGGCGCTTGTGTAACCTCGCGGAGCGTCGACGCTCGTCTTCCGCCGCCTGGTCGTTTCAGCACCGGACAGCGACACACCGGCGAGCCGAGACGCGTCGAACCAGGAAGGGGGGGAAACCCTGAGGTTGAGCGAGCCTCCCCCCTTCCGCCACCCCCACCAACCACACAACAACGCAGGTGAGCCTCACGCTAACAATGTCACGCGTTCGTCTGACGCTGTCTGTTGTTGTTTTTTTGGTTTTGTTTAATTAATTTAATGCCGCGCGACGTGTGCGCGTGCAGGTGGCTCGGTGTTGCTCTATTTGATTTCGTGTTGTAAAGAAACCGAGCTCCGGCTGGTGAATGTCCTTGACAGCAGAAAGCTTTTCTGGACGTATGTGTGTTTGTGTTGGAGGGAGAGAAAGAAAGGAAAGAGAGAGAGAAAACAGGTTGTGCTCCTGCGCAGTTTGTCTCTCTGTCCTCTTTCTGACTCCCTGTCTTGTATCTGTCTCCACAGCCCGTCCGACCCTCGGTTGGCTCGAGGGTTGGGGAGGGGGTTGCCAATGCGCGGCTAGATGACTCCGCCACATCAACAAGCGCCACGGTAGTCCTGGACTAATAATACAGCAGCGCCACGTCCCCTCTTCTTCTTCTTCCTCCTCCTCCTCCTCCTCCCTCCCCTCACCTCCCTTCTGTCTCCATTCGCTGATTCCAAGTCCTCCTGACTAAAGGCACCATGGGAAATCGTGGCATGGAGGATCTGATCCCGCTGGTCAACCGGTTGCAGGATGCCTTCAGCTCCATCGGCCAGGCCTGCAACCTGGACCTGCCGCAGATCGCGGTGGTCGGCGGGCAGAGCGCAGGCAAGAGCTCCGTGCTGGAGAACTTCGTCGGCAGGTAAAAAAAAAAAAAAAAAAAAAAATGACCACCGGAAATAGGATAATCCCCTTCCCGTTTAACCTTGAGGATGACGTAAGAAGCTGCGCAGTGCGCGAGGCTGTCTGCAGACCATCATTATCTGCCACTCAGTCTTCAGTTTTTTCAAACCAGCCGCTCTGGGTCACACACAGTCGCAACTTTATGTGGGTTACAGCAACACCTCTGGGGATTCTGGTCCAATAAGCATCCAGGGCCCCGGTGTCGAGTGGCACCAATTCCAGTTCAAACACTGGGGGAAAAAAAAAAAAACTTAAAAAAGATTGAGTTTGTTGAACTCTATGTTTCTTTAACATGTCAACTTAATAAACTTAAGTTCACTACTTAAGTTTAAAAAACAAACAAAAAAGAAAGCTGGATAACCTGTTTTCTTTTTTCAGCAAATTACCCGTTTGGGTTTGTAGTTCATCATGAAGCAAGTATTTCTGTAAATCGGTGCAATTGGCTACATCAAAAGTCACCAAGTCAAGTCACATTTTTTGTGCTTTACATAATGAAGAACCGTCAGACAGTCACTAATTGTGGAACAGGCAATAAACATTTGGGTATGTTTAAAGACATCAAGAAATGGTCAGTAATATCATATTACTTTGGATTTGAGTGTTTTTTTTTTTTAAAGAAATAGTACTATTACATTAGTTGCTAAAGAGCTCTGAATATTTGCTAAAATTGCTTTTAAGAAGACAACACTACTCCTTTAGTTATTTTACTCATTTGGTTTCATAGTCAGATTCAATAAAGACTCAGTACAGTAGAGACAGACAAGATTATTGTCATTTATTTGTAGATTAGCTTCCACTTACATTGTCCACAAAATGGGACAATGTCAAATTCTAACTTTCAACTAAGTTAGCAGTACATGTCGGGTCACTAAGCACGTGCACTGAACAAAAGTAGCATCAGATATATCCGTGGGCATGCAGAACGTTTATATGCAGAACAAAAATACAGCTTTTTGTGGCACAACTTTAAACAGTGACACCAGAACTCCAAACTCTGCCGTTTGGGAACATGAATGTTTTTCGTGGAGCTGCTTTGGAGAAAGAAAGTTTTACAGAGCCACAACATAATGTCAACAAAGACATCTTTCAACAGCGGTATGGTACATACCCTGCTCTGCAACTGAATTACAGGGATTGTTTTAAGGGCGAATTACATCCTTAAAACAACAGCAAGCTCAAGGTTAACATCATTGGTACTAGAGAAGAATTGGCTCATGTCCGAATTCAGCTGCCTTAAACATTCAACCAGTCCAAACATTGCAAAGCTTTAAAGAACCTTCAAGCCAGAGGGCATTTCCCAACAGCAATGCTTTCATGGTGCTTTCAAAAGTACTGAATGTCCAAACTGGGATGTTTGTGTACGTTATGTGCTTCACCATAATTCTAAATGAACAGTTTCATAGATTTAGACCTATTAAACTGGATCTAAGCGTCATACGTCTGAATATGAAACTTTTGAACAACTTGTTCAACTGAGCATTTGAACAAATTGTTCAATTGTGTTTGAACAATTGACACAATTGGCGATTCTTAAATACTCTGTTGGGGGTCCTCGGGTGGCCCTGAAAAGCAGCACAGCTAAAGATAGTTACAAAATCAGCCTTTCATTACCTGAAGAACATTTCTAGGATTAAAGGACTAATGTAAAGAACTTGACTCTGACACCCATCTCTTTTCTGCACAGAGCCACAGTTTTATGCATACAAAGCCGGTTGCAGAAATGCTCTGCCATGTGTAACCTTTTTAAAACACCGCCCACATGCAGCAGCTCCCACTCCAGAACGCACAAATGAATATTCATGGTGTTGCTCTGAAATTTTGAGTTAATCAAATAAGAGCTAATCAGGTGAATGGATGAAGTCACGCTTTAGCCCTTCACGCTTATATTCATATATGTAACTCAGTCTTTCATAATTTATCGTGGCATTGTTTTCTGTTAGCTCTCAACAAAAACCCAACTAAAACCCAGAGTAATGTGGTTCAACGTTCCCAAATATTGCACTGATTCAGTTGGGTGCATTGATTTAGTCCTCCTCCAGCCTTTCAATGAGCGCCGCGGTGCTGAGTAATGGTCCATCTGTCCGGCTCTGGCGCTGCACTCTGCTGAATGGACTCACAGAAGCCTCAGCGTTTCTTCGAGGCTCGTCCCGTACACCGTCCCTCTCAGGGACTATTTGTCAATAAGGTTCCCCGCAGCAAGCCTTTAGCCTCAAAGGCTAAAGGTATAGACTTTTAGGTTCAGATTATGTGCGCACGCACACAGACACACACTCACCCACACACACGCACGCACGCACACACACATATGCACACACACAAGCATTTTCATCACCTGTGTGCGTAGCCCTCCAGAAAACGTCAAAGTCATCGTTTTGCGTTTGAGCGAGCGCCCCTGTCAGCTCTTCATCCGGACCTGCTGTTCATCGGGTCAGAATGTTCTGCCCCCTCGGTCAGAGACACACCAGCTGAGAGCTGCAGGCTCGGTTTTGAAATGGCTTCTGGTTTGAGCTGTTTTGAGTTCGCTAACAGGATTTTTTTTTTTTTTTCCATTAAACAAACGCCAAGGAAAACTGTGTTGCATCTGGCGTGTTGTTAGAAAACAAGCAGCTTAGTCCGCAAACACTTAGCACGGGAATAAAATGAGTGGCTCATCACTGTGAGTTCACGATAGATATGACTTTAAAAGGACTTCTCTGATTTGTGTTTCCTCTTTAGGGACTTTCTGCCCCGGGGTTCTGGTATCGTCACTCGCAGGCCTCTGGTTCTGCAGCTCATCAGTGCAAATGCCGGTGGGTCCCATACACATTTCACACACCCACGTCAAATAACAGACACATTTTGTCACTCACACATCCACATGCACATGCACACACACAAAATCCTCCTTTCTTTCTAAATGGTGTTGCTTTTTATTCCCTCCTCCGTCTGCATTTTGTTCCACTGAGTGCAGCCATTACTAATCCAGGGTGCATGTTTTTCTGTTATTTTTTTTCCTTTCTTTTTTTTCCCCTTCCCCACAGAATGGGCTGAATTCCTCCACTGCAAGGGGAAAAAATTCACCGACTTCGACGAGGTGCGCCAAGAGATTGAGGGCGAGACCGATCGGGTTACGGGGGCCAACAAAGGCATATCTCCTGTCCCCATCAACCTGCGGGTTTACTCCCCTCACGGTACGGATGGGATCGCTCCCCTTCTCTTCTTCTTAACGTCAACTTAGTGACAGACTGCTGAAACTCTTCTGGATCTAAACAGGGTGTGACAGGATGTGATTCATAGCGAATTGCCGGCGGACGATGTTTATTAAAGCTGTGTCACTGGAAACAAAGACGAGGGTGTTCTGATCGATGGTGAAAATTACATTTATAATCTGTAGGAATAACAAAACAAATCACCTAAGGAGGTAGAACTTCTTCAGATTCCAGATATTGGTAGTGATGTTGTACTGTTGGGATTTGATCAGACCGAAAAGAGTCCAAATTATTATTTTTATTATGGTACTGTTTGAATTTATTTATGATTCTATAAAAAATTACATCCATACATACATGCTTATCCCTAGCAGCGTCGCAAGGGGTGCTGGTGCATACCTCCAGCGGTCAACGGATGAGGGGCAGGGTCACCCTGGACAGGTCACCAGACCCTCACAGTATATAAAATGTAAATCACCTTTTTTCTGTCCGGTAGCAGCTAAATTGCTAATTAGAATACAGCACATAGCTGGTATGTAACTATGTATTTGGCATGCAGATTAGCAATAGGAGTAATATGCCATTACTGAAAACCAGATGGAGAGAAAGTGACTCCAAAATAATAATCAGTTGGCATTAGTGAGATAAATATTACACTTTGGCTGCATCACTAACAGATGGGATTTGGGGGAAATTTACAGGAACAGCATAAAAGGGGCTAAAATGTTCTTCCTCCTGTGAAACTCTCTTTAAATGTTGTGTAAAATGTAATTTTTTTACACATTATTGAAAATATTTTTCATAAAACAAACTTTTATTTACCTTGATGTTTGTTTTTATGATATTTCCATACCATCTAATCACTGTCTGTTTAAACTAGCTAAAAAAACTAGCTAGCTTGTAGAGATAGTTTTATGTCAAACAGAAGAGAGGCTGTTTGACTTTTAACACAGTGTATGTGTTATTTCATTGGTTCTTCAAAATGCTATAATAAGAAAATCAGACCAATATGTATTTCTTATGGTGAAATACATGTGTTGTTTGTAAAGTTACACAGTAGAAAATTAACAGCAATAATTTGGTTTAATTAGCATATAAAAAAATGCGGGTGTTCATTTTTCAAATTTATATTCTCACCATGTTACTCCTCTATTTATAAATGTTACAGTTCCAAACTAAAAACTGATTTTCCATGTGGAATACCATTTAGTCTGAGTTACTCAGACTAAATGAATAAACATGAATATGTGATGATTTATTTTTTGTCATTTCACACTAGCTTGGTTCTCTGGGGGGCCCCCCGGTGGTGTGCAGGGCCCAAACAGCCACTTGACTCATATGTCCCTCGGTCCGGCTCTGGAATACGTCTCATTTATTGCATTCCTGTGATTCTGCAGTGTTGAATCTGACCCTCATCGACCTGCCGGGAATCACCAAGGTGCCAGTTGGAGACCAGCCTGTGGACATCGAGCAGCAGATCAGGGACATGATCATGCAGTTCATCAGCAGAGAGAGCTGCCTGATCCTGGCCGTCACCCCTGCAAACACCGACCTGGCCAATTCTGACGCCCTCAAACTGGCGAAGGACGTCGACCCCCAGGGTAAGGCGAGGAGGCTGCAGCGTTAGACGTCAAAAGAAATCATAGCTGAAAGACGTGACCTTGTGTTTGTTGGCTCGGATAAAAGCTCAACAGGGAATCTCTGTGAGCTGTGAGAGGCTGTCTGTTGACTTTTGTGCTTTGACCTCTAAATGTGGCAGCGTCACCTCCCTGCAGGGATCAATCAAGTGTCAGATTATTATTAGAAAACAGGAGTGTGGAGAGAGGAGAGACATAAAAGATTAAGAATTAAGTGTAAAAAAAGAGAGCAGAATCAAAAATAATAAGAAGAAGAAAAGGAAATGAATGAAAACAGGAACCAAAGGGGAATCAGGGTGAAAATATATATTTGATGCCCCCAAATGAAAGAATAATTAGCTGTGAATATGCTTTAAAAGCCTATAGGCTCCATTAAACGCAACCTGAGACTGTAGTAAACAGGCAGGAGGTCTTCTATTAGCCGAACAGTGAAATACTGCCAGATTTTTATTGGCTGCTCAGATCACCAGACATGGGCTTGTCAGCCAGATTGGTCCATGTTTAGCTTGCTGTTGCAGAAAAACAGACATCAGGTTCTATGAGCCAAAAGACAGCCGTTTAGCTTTTTCTTTTTTTCTTTTAAATCAAAACAATCAATATCCATGTTTCTATACAATAGATGTACATGTTGGATTTTTTTTTTTAGAAGACTTTTCAAGAACAATATAACAATTATTAACTGACAAGACAAAAATCAGCTCAGAGACAAGAACAATAACACCTGAGTAGTCAGGAACCTCTGAAATACATATATTTAAGGGGGGTTTTGTGTTGTTTCAAAAAGAACAAAAAGGGTTCTGGAGAGGGTAATCATTAATAATTCATTAGAAATATATAGTATATTTTGGATTTTAAATGACTGGATGCTCAATTATTAAATTGTTGAATAAAATACATGGTTTGCAAATAAAATCTGAAAAGTGTGGCTTGCCTTTGTATTCTGCCTGACTGAGTCAGGCTGAACCACCTCAGTGATCAGTAAGTCAACACATTAAAAACTGCATTTATAAATCCATTTATTGTTTCCTTGACAAAATGATCCACTACTTTGTGCGAGAGTACTATCACAATAAATACCAGCTCAACAAAATTGAGCCTATAGTTAGAATTTGGTGAAATGAAGAAACATATACTGTCTGTATTCGTCTTTATATTTTTCCTCATTTCACTTCTTTTGCTTTGTCAAGGTTTAAGGACCATTGGAGTGATCACCAAACTAGATCTGATGGATGAGGGAACGGACGCCAGAGACGTTCTGGAAAACAAACTGCTGCCGCTACGAAGAGGTGCGTATTTTTATTCAGGATAAAACATTTTCTACTACAGATGCACGGATTTGATGTTAATATTCGTATCGATTACGATATTGATAAAAATTCTAGATTGGACATCGGTGGCAATGTTCCCAATCCATAAGCTCAGATGTATTCAGTCTAATGCTACGCTTTGGCCTCTGACTGACAACATGCTTTATTATTTATTTTACATTATATTTAGAATTGCAAATTGTATTTTCTCAACCATTTGAAGGTTTACTACTGTTTATTTTTTGTCACTTTTTTCTTATGTATGTTACGTTGGTCGTTCTACTCTTGATTCCATTGACTGTGCAAATTAATGTTTGTAAATCTTGTGAAGATACTGGTCTCGCTCTAAGTATCATATAGGCATCGGAAGGAAAAATATGGATTGGTGCATCCCTACTTTCTACTGTCACCGTTTAATTAATTGATCAGGTTGAATTTATTAGATTATTTCTCTCACATCTCTCTGTGTTATTTCAGGATACATTGGCGTGGTCAACCGCAGTCAGAAGGACATTGATGGCAAGAAAGACATCAAGGCGGCTTTGGAGGCTGAGAGGAAGTTCTTCCTGTCCCACCCCAGTTACAGGCACATGGCCGAAAAAATGGGCACCCCTCGCCTACAGCAAGTGCTCAACCAGGTGACGATGGATTTACCCTCTCTGCTCTCCCACGGTGCTCTTTACATAATTAATAAGAGGGTGGCCTACTTTTTTTGGGGGGGGTGGAGGTTCTTTTTTCCATCACTCACCACCTCCCATCCTGCCCAGCTCTAAATAATTCATGATTTCACAGAATTCCAGATTTTCTCTAGATTGCTTTTGGATGAATATCAGAATCTTATTTCATTACAGTGAATTACGTGATACGATACAATTAAGATAAAAAATAAAAGGACTCCATGTAGTTAAAACACACATTTCATTTTATTCTATATTTGATTTTAACTTGAGTCTTGTCGGATTTGCGTCTCCTTAGCAATTGACCAACCACATTCGGGACACCCTGCCAGCTTTCCGCAGCAAGCTGCAGGCCCAGCTGTTGGCTCTAGACAAGGAGGCGGAGGAATACCGGGGATACCGGCCCGATGACCCATCTCGCAAAACCAAGCAGCTGTTGCAGTCAGTACCGCTTCTTTTCCCACAGCCGAAGCAACATGAGACATTGTTGACGAAAGACCATGTGAAAGGAATTTTTCTCCTCTTTTTGTTTGGCGTTTTTTTGTTAGTTCACATTTTTTAAGTTGCCAGAAATCAGAGCTTTGATTTGCTGATATGTGGTTGTCGTTGTTGTTTTCTTGTTTTTTCTTTTGTTGTTGTTGCGTTTCAGGATGGTGCAACAGTTCTCTGTTGATTTTGAGAAGAGGATTGAAGGCTCCGGGGATCAGGTGGACACGGTGGAGCTGTCTGGTGGAGCGAAAATCAATCGCGTCTTTCATGAGCGCTTCCCTTTTGAACTCGTCAAGGTGAACTACTGTGTATTAGGTCTGAAAAGTCAGAAAATCATAGGATAAACACAGTTACTTGCAATCCTGGTAAAGGTGGGAAAAAGGCTTTAAAATACACTAAATCAAACTTTAATTGCTGCAGAATAATATCGCTATTATAAAACAGTATTAAAGAAATAAATTGGGATGATCCATATTACATTTCTCATCACACACAGTAGCTGAGTTTCAATTACAAATGTTAGCAAAACTTTGCAGATGCACTGCTAATGTAGAAAAAACACATTTTCATGATTGCTGTTTCCAGTGAGTAAGAAACGCAATTAAAATCACACGTGAATAAGTTTATTCATGCGATAGCTCATTACATCACACACCGACGTCATCCTCCTTCCACTTCCCGTTGTTTTCTTCGTTTTCGGCAGTAGAAACTTCTGTTTGTTGATCACTTGACTCGTGTGACATTAAAAAAAGTGTTTTCGTCGCAGTTTTGCGAAAGATACTAATTTCGATACAATTGGAAAAATTACCACATCCTACCGCAAAATCTTTGTAACAAAAAACATGTTTCTTTTTCTAATTGGCGTCTTGAGTAAATATTTATTTTAGTTCCACTTTGCGCAATTATATGGTCAGTGGAAACGCAGCCAAGGAAACGAGAGAGAGAAAATGGTGAAGCTCACCATTAGGGGACTTGCTACAGAGACTGGCATCTTGGGGTTTTTAAAATAAATATTTTTTTAAAACATCTGAAATGATGTTACTTCAATAAAAGAAGTATTTGTATTATAAGCTTTTTTACACATCTTTACCAGAGTGCAAGGAAATGTGGAGGATGATGCATATAATCCCAATGTTTGAGCCTCTAATGATTCATTTTCTTTAAAAATAGACAAAATAGTGTGATTTGCTGCAGCCTTAGTTCCTAGGGCTAACTCTATTTCATGTTTAATTGTATCTTTATTTTATGTTTTTTCTAAGAAAAAATGTTTTGCAAGGCAAATGTTAAAAATTGTTCTCTATTCTTTAGCTAAGAATAAAATATATAAGTGTGTAAAAACCAATAAGCACTCTGCATTCAGTTATTGAGATAATCTCATCATTAGCTGAATATGTAAACTATTTTAAAGGAAGTGTGTGTTGTTTTTAAACTCTCGTTTTCTGCTTCAGATGGAGTGTGATGACAAGGAAATGCGGCGTGAGATCAGCTACGCCATCAAGAACATTCATGGTATCAGGTAGGGGCTTTTGTATTTTATTTTATTTAACTTTTTTAATCATCACCCATAGTGTCAAATGCGCCGCATGTCCATCAGTGATAGGGAGCAACCTTCTGCTTGTCAGCAACGCAAAATGATGAAAACTTTGCTGCAAAAGTTTCTCATGCTAATGCTAAACTGCACAACAACCAGTTAGATCGTTTCCCTTCTTTTTCCAGAACTGGGCTTTTCACCCCTGATATGGCGTTTGAGGCTATAGTGAAGAAGCAGATTGTGAAGCTGAAGGAGCCTTGCATCAAATGTGTGGACATGGTCATCCAAGAGCTGATCAACACCGTGCGCCAGTGCTCCAACAAGGTATCTCGCCCCTCCTGTTACTCATGGCGATTATGGAGCTGCTAACTTTAGTTAATTGTAAAGCTGAAAGTACCAGCTTCCATAAGAACGTTTTGACGTTTCCCACCTGTGGATGCGCTGAAGTGCTGCGTGTTTTGTTTGCAGCTGGAATGCTTCCCGAGGCTCCGCGAGGAAACCGAGAGGATCGTCACCTCTCACATCCGGGACAGGGAGAGTCGCGCCAAGGACCAGGTAAAGACCGCTCTGTGTTCAGGTTGTACTCATCACGTTAGTTACTAACAACTATTACACATGATAAGGAAATTCAGATGTGTAGTTCTCCTTTTACTTCTTAAAAACAAAACTCATTCAAAGGTAGAGCAAGAGGTCAATATCTGACCAAGTAAGTTTTAGCTTAGGTTATATTAGGTTAACTTAGCTTAGCACAAAATGTCCCCAGTAGCAGAACGAAAGTCTCACAGAATAACCTTGAGTTATTTGTGAGAAAAAAAAATTGTATTACAATATATTTTATTGTGATTTTTAAATGAAAAAAAATATCTAATGTATGGATTATTTCAGGAGTTTATTTGATTTTAAACACATTTTTGTTTAAAAAAAAGTTTTTATGATCAGTTACAATTTTAGTGCAGCATTAGCTAAAATAGATGAATTGTTTTAAAAGACTTAATGATTTTTATATAAACGTGTGGTTTCCAAAGTGTGAACCGGGGCCATTTGTGGCCCCTGACTTCAGTTCCAAAACGATACAAATGTGGCCCGACAACTCAGGTGTTTGACGTTGACAGAGCCTCTCCATTTTTAAATAGGACAGAATTATCTCAAACAAAGTCAAATCTTCTCACAATAAGAAATATTAACTACAACATTCGTTATTTGTCTTTAAATGCACACACTTTTTAAATTATCACACAAAGACTGTAACTTTTACTCTAAAGCAAACTTTGCTAGACCCAGATCTGCTTTTGATTAATTGAATAAACATGACTAAATAACTAACTGAATTGTTTTCAGTCTTTTTTTCCAATTGATACCAAGAAAATTAGCAAAATTACTTCAAATAAGGCGACCTTGCAGAACCCTGTTTTAATCCCGGCGCTACTGTATGCTCCCGTTCCATTTTTCTCCAGTCGTTTCTTATAATAAATATCTTGTGCGTCCTTTCAGGTCCTGCTGCTGATTGATCTGCAGCTCTCCTACATAAACACCAACCATGAGGATTTCATTGGCTTTGCTAGGTAAACATGAAAACAGCTCACCTCAATGCAACACGCTAACTTTTGGTATTTTTGACAAAGTTTCCTTTCACTCTTTCCCACCTACTTTCTTTTCATTGTTCTGATGCTACATCTCTACGTCCATGTTCCTGTTGCCATGGCACAGCGCTCAGCAGAGGAGCAGTCAGACTAACAAGAGCCAGAGTTCAGCAGGAAATCAGGTGAGCGTGTTCTACGTTTCGTGTCAAAGTACAAGTGGTGGCACACGCGGTCGAAACTGTTGTTCGCATCGACACGAATCAGAGACGGCACAGAAAAATGGTAACCACCGAGCTGAAACGCATTTACAAAACCCTCCTCTTTGTTTAAGTTGATCTTTTGCATAGGATGAAATTGAGGGTTTATTCATTTCACTGCTATAGTTTCTACAATAAATATCATTCATGTTTATAATTATTTATCCCCCATGCTTTTATTTAACAGCCAAGAGTGGACGTTTCCCATGTATTTTGTTTCCCCATGGTTTTCTCAAGAGAGATTAACTTGTTATCTTAAGAAAATAGTCGAAAAAATTGCTGGGAAATGAATTTATTATCTCAAGAAAACCACCAGGAAAAAAGTGGAAAACGTTCCTTCTGGGCTTCCATACTTCAATGTTTCAGTTAGTCACCAGTTTTTACACAGTAGCGATGCACCGAGAGATCAGCTTCTGATTTTAGTCATTTCATCTGGGCTTTAAAACAATAGTGAATTCCTGTTGAACTGTAGAGCTGCACACTGCTCTCTCTTCCTCTCTCTGCTGATGTAGCTAAATTTTAAACCATTTTTTCTGAGAAAGATCTGAAAACCTTGTTATGGAGTTATTTTCCGATGTTGTATTTTGTTTGAGTTCATTTTTAATTATTTTTGTTACACAGCCTGGAGGATTTAAATGCATTTGCTTATTTTCTATGATACAGAAGGACAACACCGTACATTTTGAAAAACAATTGTTTTATCCTAACATTTTATTGTTAAATCAAATTTATCAGAGTTTTTAAAAATAAAGTGGATTCTGTGATTGGTGCATCTCTACTGAAAAATGCTTTTTTCTTTCGTTTAGTATAGTTCTTTGTTTTCCCCACCATCATGCTTGGTGTTGTTGAGACGTTTCCCTTTGTTTGAACCCTCCCTGTGTCATAAAGGTGCCACCTTGCATTTCATCCCCACCCCTTAGTGAGAATCTCAGCTGCCCTCTTGAGGGTGTCTGTCGGTGAGTATAGCTCTTCCATGGGTCGTGGTTTGCAATGCCGTTTGTACCTGCTGCAGTTCTGCTTCTCGCCAGTGTGTGGTGCTCTCCAGCACCGCTGCCATTTTCCTCCATGACATTTTCCTCCATGACGCGCCATAGGGATGCTAACTGACCGGTGTGGGGCTGAAACTTTTTCTTTACTAAAAAAAGTTGCTGCTCTGGTTTTTTCAGATTTTTTTGTCTCTCCTAACACCAGTTCCACCTCTATTTTCATCTCTTCCTGTTTATCTTTGGCATTTGGAGCCATGAGAAAGAGATTTTAGAAAGATGTGGGTAACCTCTTTAGTCAGTCTTAGGCGGTGCAAGTCTGACAGTAATCTAACCCAGTAATCCTTTGGCACCGGACCTGTATGGTTCTGTTTGTATCTGGATTAATACACTCAACACTGACGACACACACACACGCATGCTTTATCTCCGGTAGAAGATAAAGCCTCTGACTGGCGTCTAGCTGTGAGCGCGGCTGCACAGAGTGAGTCACAATCACACACCTCAGTTAACCTTTGCGCATGTTTCATCTCGTCGCCTTTGCTCAGATTACATGATCAAAGTGTAACCAGTTTGCTGTTTCCGACTAACATAAAGCTTCTACGGTGAGAATCTCTTTGCCACTCACACCTCGGCTGTACTCTCTCCCCTCAGGTCATCCGTAAAGGCTGGCTGACCATCAACAACATCAGCATCATTAAGGGAGGAGCCAAGGAGTACTGGTTTGTGCTCACTGCCGAGAGTCTCTCATGGTTCAAGGACGATGAGGTGAGCGTGATTCATCTACCTTCAGTTTTATTACGTAAAAATATTAGTCTATTACATGTGGGTAACTGTGGAAAGGGGTAGGAATGAGGCTCTGTTGAAAGGCATAAGCAGTTGATGTCTTGCTTGCAGTAGATAACTCTCATTGGGTCTTCATTTATATATTGGTCGGTGACTTTAAGTGCCAAGAAAGGCAAATACAATGTTTTATTTGTGTAGCTCTTTTCTAAAAATACCTCAGACGCTTTACAGGATTTAACCAAAATTAAACACTTAAGCACATCAAACAAAATCATTAAAGGAAAAAAATGTATTATTCATTCAGTACAAAGCGAGAAGAGTTCACAGGATGAAGCTAATGTCTCTGAAAATGCTAAGTTATACTTACGTTTTTTTTTTCTTACATGCACCGGTAACGCTTTTATACCTATGTGTTTATAGACACACTTGTAGTTTTTCAGTTTTTTCTGTAAACTGCGGTAGCTGTGCAGTGACACTTTGTCGGACTGCTCTGATCTAAAATCGGACATATTCAACATGTTTGATTGTTTTGGCCCTTTTATCGCAGCCTGTGGGGTTTTCCCTGACTGGGAGCGCAGCCTGTTGAATGTGACAGGTAGCCAATCAGAAATTTGTGTCCTAAGCACGGAGGGGAATCCCAAACAGCTGACATGGCATATCAAATTATTTCTTGTGCCGCTGGGTACCAGTTGGTCCATGGCCCGGGGGTTTGTTGTAGGATTTACCCCCCTATTGACCAGTGATCACTGGAAACCCTGCAAGGATAAGCGGGAAAGACGATGGATGGATGGATATTTACACTGAAGCTGAATATTATTTTCACAGGAAATGGAATTTGGAGGAGCTGCAACACCGAAGATCTTCCTGTGTAAAACACAAACTGAGAACAGAACATGGGAAGTGTTTCCATTTTAGTTAACTAGCTGATGTGAAAGTAAAAGTTAAAGGAAAATATATTGTTGTAATTTTGATTTACAAAAAATAATTTTATCGATTTTTTAATGCACTCAGTACTTCTTTTATGCAGGAAGATCATTACTGGTGCACTGCTTCCTCCCTTCATTTCCATAGACATTAATCGCCTGCTGTGTAAATAACCAATAAATGCAAACAGCTGATGCAATTCACATAAACCGCTAAGAGATTTGGAGATTAGAATAGTTTTAAGATGTCAGAAGTCTCCTTAGCTCTTGCTGCGTCTCAGACTAGCTATTGGCTTCAGCCTTACCGATCAGCTAGTCTGGATTTATGAAGACATAAAGTTTCTGCTGCAGGTAAGATTTTAACTAATCTTTTTACAAAACCTCACATTAAAATTCCTGAACCTTCCCTTTAATGGCCCATTTCCACAACTTGAAGTCCTCAAAGAGTCCTCATTAGGGCCAGACAATAAATCAATAATAATACATATAGCAATAGCTTTGCTTTACCAGTTCGACCTCCCATGGCCAGGTAAGCAAAATGGGTGGGATCAACTCACTCACTCTTTGGTTATGTAGCAACAACCAGCTGAGTATTTCGCATAACAGCAGTTTCACGTTTTGCCACTTGTTTTTCATTTTCTCCAAAATGAAAAACAGCGTGGCAAGAAAACTGGGGAAAAGAAATGGAAAAGTCACGGCACCAGTTTGGCAGGATTTCAGATATTTAAAACAAAAAAATAATCAATAATTCTTAATATCGACCAAATACGAAAAACATTTATTGTGGTACTTTTTTCAGCCAAATCGTCCATTCCTGCTCCTAATCAGACTTCCAGCTGAAGTTCGGCACATGGAGAACTCTTTAAAACCTATTGTGTTGCACTTTTAAGTTAAGGAAGTAATAATAAACAAGAACCTACTCAAACCATAAAATGGTGGGTAAATGACTGCTTTAAAGCAGTATTTTATTATTTCAAGAATGACCAACAACAGCACATGTCTTTAGCAGCTACAGGCCACCACCATTTGGATCCATGGACCAGCATTGACAGAATGCGGCGTTTGGTCAGATGCCGGCCTCTGCTTGGCAGGCTGACGTCTCTCTGCCTGTCTGTGCCTGCTGTACAGGTTGTAGGACATTCTGCACAGCAAGTGTAGATAGGCAGACACACAGCAGCTCCTCCAGCCAGCCCATTCTGATGCTGCATTGTTGCCCAGGAGACCCGATTGAGTTGCTTGCCATCAAGAGTTTTCAGGAAAATGTCTTCTGGAACGAGTTCTTGGAACAAAACAAAGCTGTGTCTGCAGTTTCTGGTTATCAAATGAAATGTTTTTTTCCTCCAGCACATCCTCACTTGTGCTTTCCATGCACCTTCTATTCTGTGTTCCTTCGCTCCCCACCTCCTTCCTCTGAGACTTCAGCCATTCATTCCTTCTTCTTCTTCACTAAATTTGGAGCAGCCCCAATCCCAACCAAATGCTCGCTCTCTCAGCCACCCAAAAATACGCGGCCGCCCGCTCGGAACCTCAGACGGCGCGGTGCGGCGCACATAGGGGCCATGCAGATTACCATCCAAGACGCTAACCCGGCAATGCCGGTAATTACAGACTCTGCTAGCTTCTCCTTGTGTATTTCTGTTTTACACCCTCTTGAACTTTTCTACCGTCGTGTACACGTCTGCCTCCTCCCTTGTATTAATGCGGTTGGCAGTTCCTTTGGAACTTCTTGCATTCTTGGCAGGAACATTTTCAATCCAAACATCATCATCTGGCCTTTTCTTTGCAGAAGAGAAGACCCATTAGATATCAGTACCCTTCACTCCACCGTCCTCCAGCTCTTCGCAGAGCAGAGGCGCCGCTTTCATAGTCTTAACTTTATCTGCTACTTGTGACTTTTTGCAGGAACAGAGCAAGTTCTCAACTGAAAATCTGATTAGTTAGATTTACTGCTTTGTGTGTGTGTGTTTGTGGTTTTTGCAGTCTTTTTTTCTGCCTTTCCTGCATTTGCTACTTCCTACCATGCATCAGTGCCCTGTGCTTGCTTAGGCCACCCACAGAAATACCTTTGCTTGGGCTGTCTCAGTGTACCCTCAAATCCAATTGATTGATTGGTCTGTCGCTCTTTTGGATCAATGCTTTGCTCCTCATCCCCTTTTACTCCCCCTCACTCCCCTCCCTTTCCAGAGTGACCGCATCTTCCTCAGCAGCCTGCATGCTCACTCATTCATGCAGTGATTTATGTGAACTTGCTTTTCTTTTAATGCTCAACGAGCATTGATTTGAAACCAAGGTACGCCTTCAAGCGCACGTAGCCAGATGTGAAGTTAGTGGTGAGGAAACTTGGTGACACAAGTTTATTCCACAAACCAGCAAGCGAGCGGGGAAAGTGAGCCAAGCGTTGAGAGCGCTCTTTTGGACAAAGTCTAGAAAAGAATGAGGTGGAGACCTGGGACGTATGGTGAGGAAGGACGAGACACACAGAGAGACAGGCGGACAGAAGAGGGTCCGTACCCAGTCTAACCAATGTGCAGACTACTGTACACCAGTATGACAATGAACAGGTAGTCTGAACACTGGGTGGACGGAGCCGGAGTGGAGAGCCAGGCCTTGTGCGCCGCCGGTCCCGACGCTGGTGGGACAGCTCTGCCGTCTGCGCCCCTTCCCCTCTCGCCGCTCCTGCAGCAAAAAGATCTCCCCCCCAGTTCGAAAGGCAGCGGTACGCCTCCTCCATGTCGGTGGGGTGTGGGGGTTTTCTGGAAGTGTCCCCCACCGGCCCCCTCCCCCTCCTGTTTATTTGTTTAGGTCGGGCGTCCCGAACCGGTCCAGCTTTCAGGTCACGCCGGCCATGAAGAGTATCCAGCCTTGACGTGGCACATTCGCTCAGACGACTGGGACACACTGGTTGCGCGTTCTGGGAGGGGATATTACAAAAAAAGAGGGAAAGAGAGACGCTCACGAGGGAGGGGTGGGGGTAAGAGAGGGAGAGAAAGAAGGAGGGGTCCCGGTTGACCATATAAGGGCGACGGTGACCCCTTGGGGAATCCAACCCTAGAGTCTCTGCAGAGATCTTCCTCCATGCCCGCCAAGTCTTACCTGTGTCAAACACAACTTTCCAAACCGAAGGGCTGTCTTTTCCGAATCTTCATCTGAATCGACTTTCTTCTTCTTCTTTTCCTTTTTGGCTTCTTCTCCTCCTCCTTCACCCCACCGTCTTTAACTTCTCCCTCCTTTCCCTGCATCTCTGTGTGCTAAGCATTACCAGATGTTGAGTTTTAACGCCAGGCTGTCATTTAATCTCTCTCGCTCTCCCTCCCTCAAACAAAAAAAAAAGAAAAAAAAAATCAGACAGGAAGTGGGCCCCTCTGGAATGGAAAGAGAAAATATAGAGAAAATATTGAGTGGCTGAAATAAAAGAAAGCAGACAGGCCGAGTTAAGACGCGTAGGCTGAGACTGAAGTGTAAAGTGAACGGTAAGGATCTCCGCTCTTTATCTGTTTGAGCCCGGGGTCCTCAGCGGCGTCGGGCCCCCGAGTTTGAGTTTGAGCCGGGGCTTTTACGTATCAGCGACCTGCCCTTTCTACCCACCGGGCCCCCTGCACCGCCCTTAACCTCGAGCAGACTCTCCTCCGGGTTCTCTGCCAGCACTTCTCTGTGTAAAAACGCACCGTGAAGAACGACTGCATCCCGACCCAAACTCTAATGACTTCCACATGTGCTCATTCTCCCTTTTCTTCTCCCTTTCTCTGCTCCTGCCTTTACCTCCCACTCTTATTTCTCCCCCATTCCTCCTCCCTTCAACATCACCTCGTCTCTCTTTCTGCCTTCCCCACTTCTCTCTCTCTCTCTTGCATTCACCTTTTTCTTACCCATTGCAGTTGGTTGGTTTCCTGACAGATGCTGAACATGCCAAAAACATAATAACTCATTTAGCTTTTCTTTTTTTGTGTGTGTACGCTCATCACTGTTTCCCTCTTTTCCCTCCACCAGGAGAAGGAGAAGAAGTACATGCTGCCCCTGGACAACCTGAAGGTCCGCGATGTGGAGAAAAGTTTCATGTCCAGCAAACACATATTCTCCATCTTCAACACAGAATCCAGGTCTGCTGCTCATGACTTTGACTTGGAGATTAATCTATGCAGAAGATGTTAAATAAAAACTAGGACTAAAGAGGGGAAATATGTTTTTGGTAGGAACAACCAGAGGTGCGCTGGGTACACAAAAAATGTATTCAAGAAAGAGCAGCAGTACTTCAACGTATTTTTACTCAAATATAAATGAAATGTCAAAGAAATATCTGAAATAAGAGTGAAGAAGTATTTGGTGAAAAGGCGACTCGGGTACTGAGTAACTCTTCAAACGTAAATCATGTAATACAGTTAGGGCCAGAAATATTTGGACAGTGACACAGGTTTTGTTATTTTAGCTGTTGACAAAAATATGTTCAGAAATACAATTTATATATAATATGGGCTGAAAGTGCACACTCCCAGCTGCAATATGAGAGTTTCCACATCCAAATCGGAGAAAGGGTTTAGGAATCATAGCTCTGTAATGCAGAGCCTCCTCTTTTTCAAGGGACCAAAAGTAATTGGACAATGGACTCCAAAGGCTGCAAGTAACTCAAAAGGCCTTTCCCTCATTAACCTGTAATCAAGTAAGTAGTTAAAAGGTCTGGGGTTGTTTCCAGGTGTGTGGTTTTGCATTTGGAAGCTGTTGCTGTGACCAGACAACATGCGGTCAAAGGAGCTCTCAATTGAGGTGAAGCAGAACATCCTGAGGCTGAAAAAAAGGAAAAAATCCATCAGAGAGATAGCAGACATGCTTGGAGTAGCAAAATCAACAGTCGGGTACATTCTGAGGAAAAAGGAATTGACTGGTGAGCTTGGGAACTCAAAAAGGCCTGGGCGTCCACGGAAGACAACGGTGGTGGATGATCGCCACATACTTTCTTTGGTGAAGAAGAACCCGTTCACAACATCAACTGAGGTCCAGAACACTCTCAGGGAAGTAGGTGTATCTGTCTCTAAGTCAACAGTAAAGAGAAGACTCCATGAAAGCAAATACAAAGGGTTCACATGTAGATGCAAACCATTCATCAATTCCAAAAATAGACAGGCCAGAGTTAAATTTGCCCAAAATCACCTCAAGAAGCCAGCCCAGTTCTGGAAAAGTATTCTATGGACAGATGAGACAAAGATCAACCTGTACCAGAATGATGGGAAGAAAAAAGTTTGGAGAAGAAAGGGAACGGCACATGATCCAAGGCACACCACATCCTCTGTAAAACATGGTGGAGGCAACGTGATGGCATGGGCATGCATGGCTTTCAATGGCACTGGGTCACTTGTGTTTATTGATGACATAACAGCAGACAAGAGTAGCCGGATGAATTCTGAAGTGTACCGGGATATACTGTCAGCCCAGATTCAGCCAAATGCTGCAAAGTTGATCGGACGGCGCTTCACAGTACAGATGGATAATGACCCCAAGCATACAGCCAAAGCTACCCAGGAGTTCATGAGAGCAAAAAGGTGGAATATTCTGCAATGGCCAAGTCAATCACCAGATCTTAACCCAATTGAGCATGCATTTCACTTGCTCAAATCCAGACTTCAGACGGAAAGACCCACTAACAAGCAAGACCTGAAGGCTGCGGCTGTAAAGGCCTGGCAAAGCATTAAGAAGGAGGAAACCCAGCGTTTGGTGATGTCCATGGGTTCCAGACTTAAGGCAGTGATTGCCTCCAAAGGATTCGCAACAAAATATTGAGAAAAAACTTTTTTGTTTGGGTTATGTTTATATGTTCAATTACTTTTGAGCTCCTAAAATGTGGAGTGTTTGTAAACAAATGTGTACAATTCCTACATTTTCTATCAGATATTTTTGTTCAACCCTTTAAATTAAATGTTACAATCTGCACTTGAATTTTGTTGTAGAGGTTTCATTTCAAATCCAATGCGGTGGCATGCAGAGCCCAACTCACAAATATTGTGTTACTGTCCAAATATTTCTGGCCCTAACTGTATTTAAAGTTTTCATCATCAAAGACCAAAATATAAAGTTCTGCAGAAATCATTGGCATTTTAAAGGTCAAAATGAAAATAATTTTTATAAGTAATGTAATTACAAAATAATGTAACAAAAGAATTTTTTTTTTCAAAATGAATTTCTTTCGATAAAAAGCGCACCAAACTTTGACAAAAACTGCAGCTGCGTGCGTCTGTGTCTGGGGAATTTTTGGCATTCAGAAATTTCACTCAAGGAAGAATTGTGATACTTCATAATAAAATCATTCAAGTAGGAATAAAGATACAGAGTGCTCCTAAAAGTTTTTTTTCTTTTTTTTAAACGTTGAGTGAATTCAAGTGGTTATTACCCAACTCTGAAATTGATCAAATCAGGATTTACCGTTACAGGTAAGATTTGACTAACTGTCTTACAATTGATTCGCCAGCTTCTTTTATTCACATTTCTTGATAATATCAATATTCAGTGTTCAATGGAGTTTCTTCAGGCCATCCTCAATATGCTGCTCCAACAATTGTTAACTCAGCAGGTCACCTAAAATGCACATAGTTATATCATCCGTTTCTAACGATGTGCCAGACCGGACACGGAAATTATGGTACAAACTAATTTACTGATGATGTCAGCTAACCTTAGCATATTTAATCTCCTATTTTTATGCCAGGTAAGGAATAGGGCTAGCGTTTTGCTCTTTAATTTGATGCAGTTCCAGTTAATTGTGTAGAGAAAATAAACAGTAATAAAACATTGCTAGTTAGTGATGAACTTAGCACTTTGATTTAAATGTCTTAAAATATGTGGAGTAATGTTTCAGCTGCTTTCTGAGCAACTCTCCCAGAACAGGGTCAGAGCACATCATGCAGAGCAGGTCATGTTAAAAAGACACACGACCAATGCAATCCCTCTTTTACGTCCAGCGTCATTTCAAAGAGTTGCAACATCGAACCTTGATAACAGAGCGACAAAATAACACAGATTTGAAGATGTGAACATGAACACAGGCTGGGATTGAGAGGAAAACAAATTCAGGGGAGACATGCAAAACACAGTTGTGATTCTTACGAGGTTGTGTGACTGACAGAGGCACAGACTGTAGATCAGCGACAGGTAGCGGGAGTTGAGTTTCGCTTGGCACATCGGGACGTGCCGTTTAAAACAAACCCCTTCACTTTACAAACACACCTGGGATTTGACCGGGACATCTCTAGTTTTAGCTTTTTCAACAAGCCCGATTTGATTAAACAGGGAATTGCTATACAGATAGAAAGTTCTCATTAGAGATCGGTAGTAATCACCAGATAAACAAGCAGATGGTCTTTAAAAAGTCTGAATCGGCGTAAAAAGGTTTTGTCTCATGTCTGAACTTTCACTAATTGTTACAGCATGTCCCGTGAAAGTTTCATGCTTGGCACCCAACAGGAAACCATTCCACATGGAATAGTCTGACACACACTTGACGTTCTAAGCAAATGATTTTGTTTAGGAACGTCTACAAGGACAATCGCACTCTGGAGTTGGCCTGCGACTCCCAGGATGACGTGGACAGCTGGAAGTCGTCCCTCCTCCGTGCCGGGGTCTACCCTGACAAGACCACCACGGTGAGAGAATCCACTCCAACACAGTTCAGTGAGAAGGACTCAAAATCAGAGCGGCTGCTTAATAGGATCCTAACATCGTCACTGATCTCATGCCTGGGTTTTTAGGCAACATTACACGCCAGGAAATATAACAAATATTACTAAAAAAATAAAAAGAATAAAATTGCTAGAATAAAGTAATTAAATTACGAGAATAAAGTCGTATAAGAATAAAGTTGAAATAATGAGATTGAAGTCATATTACGAGTTTATTCTTGAAATATTATGACTTTATTGTCACATTATTACAACTTTATTCTTACACGACTTTAATCTAGTATTGCTGTGACTTTATCATAGTTTCATGACTTTGTTTTTGTTATATTATGACTTCATTTTCCTAATCATGCAGTATTTCTGTAGTGAAGTTTAATTCTTAGTGATGTAAACATCACAAAAACTAAACCGCATTAAAAATGAACTGTTGGAGTTTTATTGCCTTACATTAACACCAGGAATGTATAAGACTTATTTCTGCGTGTGCTCGTGCATTTGGGAGTGGCAAAAATGTCAGTGCTTTAGTTTGTTTTTTACTTTTAACCCTTTGTGGAATCACTTTCCTTCAAAATAAAGGGGTGAACTTTTTCTCCCCCTGCAGGTTGAGAGCGAGACGACCACCACCACCGACAACTTCTCCATGGACCCTCAGCTGGAGCGCAAAGTGGAAACCATCCGCAACCTGGTGGATTCCTACATGGCTATTGTCAACAAGTGCATCCGGGATCTCATCCCAAAGACCATCATGCATCTGATGATCAACAATGTAAGTAAAGAAACAAAACATCCACCAACACAAATTTCCAGCAGAGCCGACATCTGACAGTGAATTGCAAGGAAAAGAAGTACCAGGATTACTTCACTATTAATTTTAGTAAGTCTGGAGGAAAATTGTTTCTGTTGCGTATGCTGTTTTATTTCAAAGTTATAAGCAACATTTTGAAACAATATATCAAAAGGTAGATTTGATTCTGTTCCTTTTGCGCTTTTACAACCCATTATTGTTTGAAACATAAAAAACAGACGTTTTCAGGCAAAACACCTGACAAGATTTCCTTATTTACGCGTTTAAATAGAAGAGAATGCAGCCTAACCATTTCCGAGTTAATTCAAGCTAATTATCAACTTTCAGGTAGGATGTTTTCTTAAATTTGTGAAAACTGTCCAACAGTTTCAATAGAAAATACTGTTTACATCCAGATATATACTGTTTTCGGCAGTAGTACACGTTGGCCTGAACTAAAGTGTGTTTTTGTTAGCTGCTTTTCTAAAAAAAAAAGGTGAACTTAAAGAATAGATGTTTTTAGGTGGCAGGAGTGCAGCTGACTAGATTTTCTTGAAATGGCTAGGTTTGTACAGCCTCACTGTTTTCAAACTAATTTAATCTGATTAGCAACTTACATGCCGCTTTCTTAAATTTGTGAGAACCGTCAAACCTTTTTTAGAAAATATTGTTCATATCCAGATAAATGCCGCCCACAGCAATGGGCTTGTTCATACAAAAGAATAGTGTGGTTCATTTTAATTGAAGCATTTTTGCTTACGTGGCAAGGCGAAGGTAAATAGTGTTTCCATTTTGCTTTCTGATTTGTTGCTACTTCATCTTGAAACCATTTTCAGCTCAGCTCCATTTTAATTCTTTGCAGACAAAACTCACAAAATCGCGTCGTGCTCCTACTTCAGAAACCTAGCAGTTTGTCTTTACAGTTGTAAAACTTAATGACTAGTGCTCAAGCTGCGCCAAGCTGCAGTTGTGGCTGACATAATTACAGACTGTGCCAACAACAAGTATTGGAAATTGAGTTTTGTCAGAAACTCTCACTACAGATAATTTAGAAATGCCCTTATCAAGCTTATACGTGGTAAAGTTAAAGACAAGGACACTTACAGTTTTACTGCTCTAATTCTTTCTGCTTGGCTGTTTGGTCTTGTCAAAAGGTGAAGGACTTCATCAATGCCGAGCTGCTGGCGTGCCTGTACTCTGCAGGTGACCAGAACGCCCTGATGGATGAGTCCCAGGAGCAGGCCCAGAGGAGAGATGAGGTTCTGAGGACCCACCAGGCCCTGAAGGAGGCCCTGGCCATCATAGGTGACATCTCTACATCCACCATCACCACCCCCATGCCTCCGCCTGTTGACAACTCCTGGGTGGGAGGCTCCACCGGCGGTCGCAGGTAAGTTGGAAATGAACCTAAACGGGGAAAGGAAAAGTCAAGGCCTGGAAGCCTTGACGTTTGCTGTTTTTATTCTTTTTTATCACATTCGTTCTGCTGTCCAGGTCTCCTCCTCCGAGTCCCACGGCCCCCAGGAGAATGTCTTCGGGCCAACGGCCGGCGCCCAGAGGGGCCCCTCCGCCACCAAACCGTCCAGGACCTTTGGGACCCTTCAATAACAGTGCTGATAGCCCCCAGGCACCCAGCCGCCCCAACAGGGCCCCCCCTAGCATCCCTAGGTAAAACGCAGTCATCACCTTTAATGCTTTGTGATATTTAATTCCAAAGATTTTATTCTGTTTCCAAAGAATTAACAAGTTACTGAAGGTAAAATGTATTTATTTATGTAATTAAAGCCTAATGAAGAAAGTGCATTGCTGAATCTACAAACATGCAATTTAAAAAAATTACTGAGCTAAAGTAGATGTACCTTACAAATTTACAAGCTGTAGCCAAATTAGCTAATCATGAGCTTTGGAAACTAGCTGAGCACATAAACAGTTTATTCACAACATTACATCGGGTGTAATGTGAAAAGGAGGAGATTTAAAAAGGATTAGTTTAGAGCGTTTTAGGTAAGATTTTGCTTCAGGGTGACCAACAAGTAGCAGCAGAATAGATAACTCTCTTGGTGTCTTAATTTCTTTTAAAAAAATCATGAATTTGTCCTTTACACGTTGACTGCAATCAGGGGTGGCTTTACAAGGATGTGAGCCCTGGGCTGGAGACAGTTTTGGTGCCAGTTTTGGTGCCTTGGTGTTTTTAGGAGAAAATATTTTTCTAATGCAAATTACATTACATTAATATATAGTCTTCCAGATGAGCAGCTATGAACTGATGCATGGTAGGTTTAATACGTCCCCTGGCCAACGGCTCCACTTTGTATCCAAGAAATCGACTTCAACTTCATAACAGTCAAAAATATTTTAAAATTGCTTGAATGAATAGAAATACCAACATATGAATACAAAATACAAAATATGAATACAACACACCTTATATGATGTACAACGTTGCAAAACCTCCATCCCTTCAAACAAGAAAAGGAAAGAAAAATCTTTGGTGCCCCCCAAAAATTGTGACCCGGGGCTACCACCTCAGTAAGCCTTTTCTGAAATGTGACGCTGGCTGCTCATACAGTTACATTATTTTAATAAACCTTTAAATTTTTGTAGTGCATACTCTTTCTGTTCAAATTTAACACATCCAAAGATTCACGTAGGCATGAAACTCACTAAGCATGTGTCACTCTGCCTGAATCACTCTTCCTCAGTGTGAGGCTGATCAATCCTGTAGTCAGCAGCACATTAATGTATGATAATGTATTAGTTGCTGTTTCACAACTACAGGATGGGTCGTCCTACGTAATGAGTTACTATGCGTCAGTGAGGATGACTTACGGAGGTGAAGCACATTTACTACGCCCGTAGTTTTCCAAAGACGACCACCGACCTTCAAGTGAAAGGACAGCTTTACATGCACAGGCAGAGGCAGCCACTTCACAGTTTCATAATTTATTCCTGCACATGCTGCTCATTGTAATCTTGACAGCCACTTCGCAGCAATGTTTCTCATTCTCCACCTACGCTCTTTGCTGTAGAGGCAAGCTGGAGTGCCCAGCAGTTTCTATGGTAACAAGGAAGCTTTGCATTCACACGTCTTTTAATCTTTTTGTCAATCTTTCGGACTAATAGTATTTGAACGGCTCGGGATGGATTAAGAGACTCTGAAGAGTGAAAATCAGTTAACCAAACTCATAGGGGAGACACTATGACCTTTCATGGTGAACGTTAATTGCTAACAGGCTAGCTTCAGTATGAGCGTTGTCATCTGTAAAGAGGTGAAGGCAGGTTGAGCTTTTAAAGTGAAGCTCCTTTCTAGACCTGTCTCATGTTAAATTAAAACGAGCTCAATAATTTCCATCTGCTGGATTTATTGTTTTCCGCTTTTCTTTCTACCACAAACTGGATGATAAAAGTCTTCAATGAGGTTCATTTGGTCTCAACTAGAACTTGAAGGACAATTTTCTTTACGACTTCATAATTCATTTTATTTCATTGTGTCTGTTGCTTTGTTTATTTACTTTGGATATTTAAAATATCTTCCAGTTCCAATGTTAAATGCTTGTGAGAATTACTTGAATTGACTTGAAAACGGTCTCTAGATGACAATATTGTCATGTATCACCCAGCAAAATTTGTCATTGTGACAGGCCTGCTCATTTCTGCATGACAGAAATGAGCAGGCAAATTTCACTGACGTTCGTTGTGGTTTTGCAGCAAATCTTGTTAGTTACAATGTAATACTTGCCTTATTGTGGGGGGTGGGGGTGGGGGGGAATACCATGTGCATCTACTTTCTTATCAAATAAATGACAATCTGTTCCTCTTCCTCTGCTCTTCGACGCATCACCCCTCTCCAGCCGGCGACCACCGCCGTCTCCTACAAGACAAGCCCCGCCATAATCACCCATTTCCCTTCGTCCACTCCCCTCCTGTCTCCCGTCCTTCTCTCTTAGCCATGGCTCTGCTGTCCTCGTCTCTCCTTAGCGAAGACGCCCGCCGAAGTCTTTGACCCCTTCAACCTCAGTTTCCTGCCAGGTGAAGACGTCCATATGTTTATGTACAGTACGGTACTCGTCTTGTGGTGTATGTGTACGTGCGCTTGTTGCTCGCCTGTGATCCAGGTTCGCTTAGCAGGTCCACTACCCTGAAACACCTGCCCTCCCTCCCCCTCTCCGACCTACAACCCCGACGGTTCAACCAACACCCCCAGTCGCTGCTTCTACATTTAAAAAAAAAAAAACAACAGAAAAAAAAACAAATAAAAAATAGGCTCAGCAGTCATACTGCCCTACTCATTCCAAAACGCAGCATGCCACATAAGCTGCTTTTATTGCATGGGAGTGTATGCGTGTGTGCGGGTGTGTTTTTTGTGTGTATGTGTGTGTTTTTGGGGGAGGGATTAATTTGCCTATATGTAGGCTGAGTTTGATTTAGTATTGTATTAATTTATTGCATAATGCCCCGCCCCCTCTCCCCCACTGAGTGTGAATGTTCTCTTAGGAACAGAAATTGTATCTTAGTACAAGTGCGTGTAAGCGTGTGTTTTTCTTTTTGTTTGTTTCTTTCTGTGTGAATAATACATTGTACATGTGAATGCGTGTGTGTGTTTGTGTGAGGACACGTGTGCATGTGTCGTCTCTGCACGTTTGTTGGCGTTTCAGTTCTGTTTGTTTTCACTGTCAAAGCTGTTGATGATGAATCATATATATATATAAAAAACAAGCAAAACAAACAACCCTGCTGGGGGAACATTCAGTGTTTGACTTTTGTGAGTTGTTCCTGTGTTGTAGTAGCAGCCATACACGCATAGCAAGGCTGAGGAGCACCATCGATATTCTCTATATGGACAAACAGCCTCGACAACACGTTTAACCTCGTCATAGGTGTCCACCTGTGCTGTATCCATGGTCAGATTGTGACCCCCGAACCGAAGGGCCTCAAGCTCCCATTCAGATGCTGACTGGAAGTGAAGCTTTGGTTAAAACTAACAATTACACAAAAATACAAAGGCAGAACAACGTACTATAGACGCTCCATTCATCTACACTCTTAAAACTGCTGGATTTAAAACAAGCTCAATACTTTCTCGGAGTTGATTTAACAACAACGGTTGGTTATGGGTTTGTACCAGCATTAATTTGACCCAGAATATGTTAAAAGTACTGCTGTCGAGCGATTTAAGAAATGGAATTAAATGAATTGTACGCTAGCGCTTTGATTAATCACGATTGAAATGTAAAAATCCACGTCATCATAAAAACTTTAAAGAAAATCTATTATTGTCTAAAACCAAAACGTTAGTGAGCTTGTTTTTTTTTTTTTAACTCAACAGAGTGACATTAATATTATAATGCAGCATAACGTTACCATTTATTTTATCGTTAAATCTGGTCAGACTGCTGTTCAGTTCAAAATGCCGGTCTGTGAAGAGTGATGAGCCTCCTGCTCGCTTAACCCAGCAAACTTGGTCTTGATGCCAGGCCCGGTGTTTGGCTAAAGCTACCCAGTTTCTATGTCTTAACAGCAACATTTCTGCTTAAGAAGTTAGCCGGCTGTTTTCAGAGTGGCTCCATAGAGGATTACTGGAGGGGGATTAGAGTCTATTCCGAATGTCATTGGGTTCCCTCCAGTTAGCCTTTTTCTCAGGTCTGACCCAAACGTTTATACCCATCACAAACTTCCCCTCCTGGTTTTGCCCACTCGTTGTTCCCGCTCAAAACCCAGACCACGCTCCGTCAGCATTTGTATCAGAGCTTAAGGTCGTGTTGTCAGTGTTCAAGTGCTTCTCTGTCACTTTGTTATTGTGTATGTAAGCCTCAGCTGTTTTCTGATGTATATAGGTAATGATAAGGACATAGTGTACCAGTGGACTCTACAGACCTCGTCAAGAACCCTAGCGCTTTAATCGTTCTCTTTGTCTGTATTCACTATATTCTCTCCTCTCTCTAATTTAGACTGCCTTAAAGGCATGGATTATAATTATTTATTGCCAAAGTTAAACACAGAAGGAGAATTGTGAAGTGAAGAAAAAAAACAGAAGAAATGAAGCTAGATTCCAGTTGATGTGTTGTTCAATTTGAACGTGTTGTTCAATTTGGAAATGCACAAGTTGTTAATTTTCTGTGTCTGTATCGCTTCTCAATAAACTTCTTCCTCATAATGTCTTTCCTTGTCAACAGAGTGATACTTGTGTAAGAATGTGGATTTGTGACAGGACAACACAAATGAATACGCATTACATTACATTACCTATGTAAGAAAACGGTGGCTGGTTTTTGAGTTGCTTTTGAGTAACAAGGCATTAAGCTGTACATGTCTGAGCCAGAGTTTGACTGATGATTCCCCTTAGGTGTAATATGTGTTTCAGTCGGTGTGGTGACCTTCTTTGGACAAAATGAGGGGTGTGATGCAACCGTTCTGCAGTAAACACTGGTTAGTAAATCATCTCAATAGATCGTATCAACCAGGCTATAAGGTTTTAACAGTATGACACACGCAGGTCTCCATTGGGTTTTGCTGGAACCAAATTTCCCAGAAATCCTCACTGGTGTTTTCATTTAGGGCGCAAATGTTTTGCTGCAGGGATCCAGAATTCAAGTGGACAAGCGGATTAAGACACAAGAGTACAAAACAAAATGGAAATGATTGCACCCAGAAGGACTCTAACCTCCCTCGTGCAATTGGGGATATTTGTGTGGAGTTTTATTTTAGGTGGGGCTTTTTGATGTTTATGAAATCACAAATTATAAAATGGTAGTAAAACAATTGTTCTTTAGATAACAAACTACGCATAAAGTAAGGTTGACTGATTTTATTTTTAGTTTCTGCAAAGGCTGACTAGTATTTCACGACCAGAGCCAGCTTGTCTTCCAGGTTATTTTCAAATGAGATGAAGCTGTGAAAATATCTCAAAGGTGAGTAGGCAGCACCCTCTAGTGGCCGTAAAAAATAATGTCGGAAAAGTGTTGGTGAGGGGAAAGTAACGCTACAAAATAAGTTTATATTTGACCGGCTTGGCTACCAATTAGAGCCTGAAAGAGCTTTACATAATTTCGGGTTGCTTTTGATTTCTGATAAGCCGAAACATTCCCCATAACTGCAAATCTCGCGATACTTTATCTTCAAAAGAGTCAAACACATAGCCTATGTTCGTGGGGCGCCCGCTCTACTCCTACACCACGCAACTCCCTCTACTGGTCACTTTTATGAACTGCAACAACAGGAAACAGTTACCTCGTAGTTTGCTGACAGAAAATTCCAGCGTGCTCCTACTTTTTAAGTGTTTGGCTACAAAACAAAACAAAACAACCAAACAAACAAAACAAAAAAAGAACCAACCAACCAAACAAAAAATATTGCAATTATTCAGATTTATTTCCATTCCCCCCCACCCCCCCTGTTTTTATTTATAATACATCATTTTTATTTGTATTTAATCAACTGATGTACCAGTCAGTTCACTGAGAGCGCTACGGCTCGATAGCGAACCAAAAACATTAGGGAGTGGGACACAAAACAACCACAACAAACATGATGGAGAGACTAAATTCTTGGAACTGCATTAGGGGCTTGAGACCAGACGCGACAGTGAGTGAAAGTGCCTCCGCATGTCCGGCAAGCGAGCGTGTCGAAAACGAGCGCTCCCGGCGTTCGAACTGCGCAACGGCGTCGCTGCGTTTTCATTGGTCTGTTGGACGTCGAGTGGCGCTGGCTGTCAAGAAGAGGTTGTGTTTGGGGAAAACTGCGGCTAGCATCACAGTCAACCAGTGCGACTGTTACATGTCAGGGACGAAAGCCGAGCATATCCGATGACTTTTGCGTTTTCACAGCGCTGAAGAGGCCACGGACTAAAAGGATAAACGTTTCTTTGTGCGCGGCGACGATGTCTGTCCCGGCAGGACAGGGATGAAGATGACACAACTGTTGTGGCGAAGTGTGTCAGTGTGGCTATGTATAGCTCTGCTCTTTTGGTGAGTTTCTTAATTAATTTTTTAACCACTTGTCATATTAAAAAAATATCTTGCATTTGACCGTATAGATGAAGACTAACAAACTATTTGACTGCTTATATGTCGTGTTCAAACACACTCGAATATACACAATATACACTCGAATAGCAGCAGCTAGCTAGCTAGCCAGCTAGCCAGCCCTGACGTTATGTTGTGATGTGGCACCTGGCTGACTTCTGACCTGTTGGGACGAGGTAGCTTTAGCCGCGGACTGAGGATGAATTAGCTGTACTCTATCAACAAGCAGCCACAGGACAATGTTGTACAGTCGCTAACTCTTTGGCTCGTTTATAAATCATTCAAATTTACAATCTATTTGAGGACTGCAAGAGTAGCTTTCTTAACAAACCCTTCAATCCCCTCTGCATGAGTAATGTCAGTTTCTTAATAATAAAGTCTGCCTCAGACCTCAGATCAGCCTGTAAGAGGCAGATTTGGTTCACCAGCTCACCGGTGAGTGGCTCTTTTTTTTTTCTTTTCTTTTTTCTCCCTCGTGTCAAAAGAATTAAAAAGCCCGAGGTTGTTGGGAATATGAATTATGTCAACAGAGATGATACATGAGGAATAAGAACGATATTAAAGGTTAATTGCAGCACATCAGCGGCTGATGTGCTGCAATTAACCTTCAGCCTATATATATTATATATATATATATATATATATATATATATATATATATATATATATTTTATTTTTTTTTTTTGTCAGTTCAATTTTGTTCCTCGGTTTAAAGAAATAGCAGCTCTTCTTTATGTTGTAGAACTGTCTGCAAATCTGGTGTTCCCTTAGTCATCATATTATGTTTTAATAGACTAATGTGACTTATTTACTTATTATTTGTTGATGACAATAGCTCATTTATCAGTGTGTGTGTATATATATATATATATATATATATATATATATATATATGTATAAACAAAGCATTAGAATATTGAAGTTTATTGTCTTTGAGGATCACTATGTCATTATCGATATATTACCTTAAAATTATGTCAAAATGGCAATAGTATTGTTTATAACGAGAATTATCGGGACACGCAAAGATCAGCTTCACTCGCGTACAAACTGATGTTATTTCAAAGTTTGTTGATATTTTAAATGTCTCATCAGTCTCCAGGGTCCATTCATGTTTTGCCACCTGTCTCAACTCCTAAAGCTAAAAGTCTTATCAGAGATGACTCACTAGCCTAGCGCAAGGCGACAGCACCAACAGCCGGACCGCCCAGAAGCCCGTATAAGAATACAGATAATAGTAAAACGACTCATTTGGACAGTTTGTCAGTGAAGTCTTTGTTTTCTGAGATGTGTCTTTTAACGGTTGCTTTTAATTTTACAATTGATATCAGTTTAGCTTTCGGAGCCGAATCGCTGAGCTTTCATACAGTTTCATCGGTTGGTTACCTTTCAAGGTGACTCAGTGTCGTTATATTTGCAATGATTCTCTTCTGCTACAGCCGGTGTGTTAGTTGCGACGTGGGATCCGCGGAGCCACAGCCAGAGGCTCAGAATCATGCGTCCTCCCAGGACTTCCAGTCGACGGAGGACTCTGGGGATCCAGACCCAAATGAGAAGGTAACGCTCTATAATTGTGTGATGTCAAAATAATCTAAGACATTATAAGTGTTTTGGCGAAACTAGGGCTGCAGATAATGATGATTTAATTGAGTATTCTGACGATTAATCGTTAATTCTGAATTTATGTTTTTAAATGCCTCATTTTACTGATTTCTTTTTCCCCGTTTACCATTTAAGACTTTTTAAAAACACTTTCTAAAACTATTTCTAAAAACACTAATTCAATTCCTTTTTTAAAAATAAGAAAACATATTCTTTTCCTTTAGTAAACCTGAACCAGGTGAAGCTAAAGCTATTTTTCTTGAAGATGTTTGGCTAAAATCTATTTACAGACAAATTTCTCTTTTCTTTTTGTATCGTAAATGTGAAATGTGTACACTTTTCGTACACATTACTGCTCTGAATATGTTAGAAAGTTGCCCTTTCTTAGTCTGTGTACTCCAGTTAACAATTAATTGATTCCTAAATTAGTTGATGATTATTTTTGATAGTCGAATAATCGTGATTAATTGTTTCGGCCCGAGCAGAAACACCTGAAACATTGAATATTTTTGAAGTTGATTTCATCATATTGTGTGTGTTTGACACATTGTTGAAGTAATTGATCCTGCCTCGCACTCTTCTGTTCAAACACCATCACTTTATTTTTTTGTCAAATGCTTATTTATATCTGTCTGTATTTGAGATTGAATGTGTTTATCTTTCTTTCTGTTGCTTTAGAATGAAGACATCTGGAGTTTACCTGAAAATGGGAAGCTGCCTGGATATCATCAGCATAACGGAGAACAGCTGACACAAGAAGTGGAACATGCTGAGGTAGGAGAAACGGACAAAAAAATAATGAAAATGAAATACTCTGCACACTTTAAGTTGATGAGAATACCGGAAGTATTTGATTTTTACAAAGGGATGTAGATGCGACGGTGGCACATTAGGGTCATTGTAGACAGAAAAGAAAAGGAGTAAGTTTCCACCCACGAAAAAATCTCAGAAATTTTCTTGGAAAAAAAAAAAGAATAAAAACAAGGAAATTTCCAAGTCTGTGCAGTCAAAAATTTGCAAAAAAACCCCCCAAAACATTGAAATTTTTAGATTAATCTATGAAATCTTCTACAAAAATGTCTTGAATTTCAAAAGCAAAAAAATTAAACTTTTGAAACTTTTTGAAATTTTTCTAGAAAATAAGAAAAAATTCTCGAAAATTTCAAAGGTTTTTTTTTTCTAGAAAATTTCTGAGCTTAATCTTAAAATATCAGAAGTTTTTGACAAAAATGTACTTTGTATTTTTTATATCTCCAATGGGCCTAACATGCCATATTAAGACACAGACCTAAATACAAGGGGGTGGGAGAGCAGAAATCCCAGTAAATTCTCAGCTTCCAAACACCAACATGGCGCCTGTAAGCAAACCTGTCTACGTGTGTGTTGAACGCTCCCAGAACCTTCTGCTCTCTTAAGTGTCTCATAAATCAGCCTCTCAGCGGCGGTTACTGGATCCAGGATCACACCCGAGTGTCTCCGTCTTTCCACTAGGCTGTTGGATCAGATGAGCCGACTGCAGAATCGGAGCCGGAGGA